ACAAGAAAACACGATGAATCCTAATAAAAACTTTGACAAAAAAAATTTCCCATTAAAAATTTTTGAAAAGATTCTGACCGGAAGTTGATGAAACTTTAATTTGTCAAAAATTTTTCAGGAATTTCCGATTAAAGACCTGCCTGATGGAAAATGGTCAAGAGTTCTTGACAGAAATCCAACGCTTGAAATCCTAGCGACATTTTCGACAGTTTTGGACAAATCCTGATGACATATATTCATCACTAAAAATCAAACTGTTAATATATATGTTGATTGTAAAATTAAAAAACCTGTCGAGAATTCATCAGGAATCCGTCACAACCTTCGTCGGGAATTTCATCTAAAAAAAAAATCAATTGTTAATATAATTGTTGGTTGCGTAGCCATTTTAAAATTTAAACAGCTGCGGGGAATCCGTCATTATTCCGTCACGACGTCCCAAAAATCCTTCTAGAAAAACTTATTTTCTCTCATTGCAAACAATGGTGTTGCAAAAATTTTTTTTTAAAAATATGTCTTCTCTAAATCCTTTCAAGTTTATTTGGATCATGGATGGACAAAGCTCTATAAAATCCACTAATGGGTGAAATTTTAGAAGAATTTGCAGTAGGTCTCAAGCAATTTATAGATTTTGCATTAATGCAAGACTATGGATGTCAAACGGGCTCACAATCTGCGGATTCGGCCCATTTAGATCCGCCATGAGATGGGTATGGACAGTTTTTGTAACCCGTTAACTAGCGAGTCTAGCGGGTTAACCCGTCACAGATTTCGGGTTTAGCGGGTTAACCTGTTACAAATTTGTGGTTTAGCGGGTTTGTCCGCAAATCATCAATTTTTTTTAATTTTCTTGGTTCTAAATTTTGTGAATGTTTTTTCTTTCGTTTAGATAAATCATATCAAACAAAACTAAACCAAACACAAATAAATTAAAACCAAACCAAATGGCAAACACCTTTTAGAATTTTAGTTTTACGATTAGTCGATTAGCCTTCTTAAAACCCTAACTTAAACAGGGCTGTCAATCATCGTTATCACACTAAGTCTCCAAACCAATTTATGTGTTCACGATTACAAAGAGACAAAGAAGATCAATACTCCAAAAGTTGTTATGAAGAACTTTGTAAGTGTTTTTTTGAGCAAATTTATAATAAGAAACAGTTAATAGTTTGTTTAGAATCTGTTTTCATAATTGTTTAATGGAGTGTTCAGTTTTTAAAATAACAAACATCTCGATCACTCAATGCATCATTGCCTCATTGGTAAATAATGTTGTTTATTTATTTGCAGGATTCACATAGATTCAGCTCTTTGAGATCGGTGGATTTTCAATCTCAAAAACTTATTAATAAAGCAAATGCCAAAGAGGAACAAAGACTTTCAGATGAAACAGAGACAAGCTTTTTCATTGATTTTGAAGATGATAATAACAGAGCAACATCATCTCAAACGAAACAGATGAATCACCAATCGGATGAGGATGCAGTTTTCACAAAAGAGCATCATACTTCTCTTGGGTCAGAGAATGCAACACCTCCAACACCTGCAATGCCTGCAACAAACAAAAAACGAACTGTTTGTGAGGCTGAAGGTGATGATGATCCGCATAGCCCGTACAATTTTCTGGGGTGGATTTGGACATCTCAAGTGCAAACCGTGACCCGCGCGGGTCAACCCACTGCAGTTCAGAGAGGAAAGGAACCACTGCGGTGCAGATCATTTGGGCGCGGGTTCGCCCGTTTGATGCTCCTATGCAAGACATCACTTTATAATCTGGTAAAAGATTGTGTCCTTGTACTAAATGTCAAAATTATAGATTATAAGGTATGGTATTCACATGGAAAAATTGATTCAATGGCGAATTATGACAATACTAGTGGATATTATATGCCAAATATGTTAGACGAGACAAGAACGAAGGTAGATGCACGAATATGAACTGTTTCGATGGTGCATGATACATTTCGAGAAAATGTAGCAACATATGTCGATGATGGAGAACGAATAGGAGAATATTTTCGAGGCTAGAAGGTTCTATGATATGTTAGACGCATCTAAGCAATCATTGTACAAAGGTCGAGGGAGGGTCATTTGCCTTTATCAGCCGCATCAAGGTTGATGACTATAAAAACAGATTTCACTGTAGTGGATCATTGCATGAATGCGTTCACAGATTTTGTGAAGGAAATTTTGCCTGAAGATAATATGACACCAGCTTCTTACTATGAGATTCAGAAATTGTTAGTTGATCTTGGTTTGTCATATCAAATGATTGATTGTGTTGATAATTGCATGCTATATTAGAGAAGAAATATAGATCGGTCGACATGTCAGTTTTGTCGCAAATCTCGGTATCAGGAAACGAGTGAAACAGTTTTAATACCTTATAAGTGGATGTGGTATTTACCGCTAACCGAGAAGTTGAAAAGGATATATCAATCAGAGCGAACGGCGGGTCCTATAGATGGCATGCAGAGCATACATCAAATAGAGAAATAGCGCATCCCTCAGATGCATAAGCATGAAAATATTTTCAATCAGTGTATCATGGGTTTGCGAGTAAGCCAAGGAATGTATATCTCGGATCGCGAGTGAGATCTTGACCCCAATGACTCAAGACGGTGAAGAGACATCATCAAATTTATTGAACCCGGAAGAGATTAACCAGATCGTACTTGATGTAAGTTTTCATTTTCTTTTTATTTAATGTTTTCTTTTTAAATTTATTAAAAATTATTTTATATTATACATAGGAAGCTCCAAAAACAAAGGATCGGTATTTTGGCTTAGGAAATCTTGATGTTTTTGCTATTGCAAATGGTAACACAAGTCAAGACCCCATGCTTGTTGAATTTATCGACGGGTTGAAGACCCATTTCCAAGAGAGAGATAATGAGGTTACAGCAATGTGAACAGAGATGAAGGCGTTCAAAGATTTCATGGAGAAGCGGATAGCTTTCATCCTCTTGTTCGCTTTCTCAATAATTTACTTTGTTAGAGAATAATGTTTATGTGGATATTACTTGAACAAAAATTTCTTAATGTATCATATTTTATTTTCTAATTTCGCATAATTTTAATTTCTAATTTTGTATAATTTTATTTGTAATTATTTTTCTAAAATTATGATTTTTCAAAATCTTAATTTTCAAACATTGTAAAAACACCGTGAGGAGTATTTGTCATGACTCCGTCGGGAATAAATCTGTCGGGTATCCATCAGTATTATTTGCTTGCCAGTAAATCCTCAGGAATAATTCCTCAAAAGGTCGTCAGAAATAAGGCTGTCAAAAAACTGTTGGTATTTTAGCGATTGACAATTTTTCATCCATTTATTGACTGCATTATTTTTGACCACAAAAGTCCACTGAATGTAGATTTGCCATCGAGATTCCATCAGGTTTTTCTTGACGTCGTCGGCTCCGTCAGAAATTATTGACGAATTCCTAACAATTTTTTTTTCTGACAATCTAGACCCGACGACTACTATCTTATCAGGAATATGTCAGAAATGGCCTCTGACGACTTTCTGATAAATATTCTGTTAGGATTTTAGCTTTTTTCTTGTAGTGTTAGAAAAATACAAAAACTTGGAAAAGAAAAAATAAGTTCACTGTGATTGTTTTTATGAACTTTGAAAGATTTTAGGAAAATAAAAATGTTATTTTTTAAATTATTAATTTTTAAAACTTTAACTTTTTGTGCACATTTTAAAACTGTAACTCATTTTTTCTTTTCTTGTTTTCTAATTGTAGTTATCATAACATTAAATTGATTTATACATTGAATTTATTTTGTAGGTTATAGATAGTTATTATTTTATTTTTTTCTCAACAGCCTCATTTTCCTAGAACGGATTGAAAATCCTAACTAGTGAAAATGAGTTTATATAATGTAGATGATAAAGGTAGTCTCGAGCACCTCGTGCTAACTTGTCTGACTTTGTGTTCTGCGTTCGTGGAATGTGTGATATCGAGAAAGAAGCAAACTCTCCTTTACTTCTATCATATTCCTCCAAATGCAATGTGAAAGCTGGCCACTCCACTGGATTAGACACCATCTTCACCAACTTGGAACAGTCTGTGACAAACATTATTGTCAATCTTCTAGCTTCGAGCAAACAATGCATCGCTCATATTAATGCTTTTAATTCTGAATGCAGTGCTGATAAAATCCGCCTGGCATTTTTTGCACCCATTAAAGTTCCCGTTGTGCCAACTCTGTGACAAAGCCATCCAATCCCTGCATTTGTGACCGACTCTTTCCATGATCCGTCTATATGACAAATGAAGCTACTATAAACCACTATAGGCTGATTCCGGCCCTGCCTGGATACCTTATAGTATGTCCACCATTAAATCAACCACCTGAGCCATCTCCCATGCATTTGCCTCTGCTATCACCATTCGAACTACCTCGCGGGGATCTCGATTAATGTTTGAAAAAACCTCGCAGGATTATATGATAGTTGTTATTGCTCTACTTTGTTACTGAAAAGATTTATAGTATGTAATTTGGGCTTTAGTTATTGGTCAAAATTCAAATGTTGTTTGCATGGAATTTAAATTTTGTGGGCTGAGATTGATAGTAAAATTTAACTTTTAATTATATAGTTTGTTTTGTTAAATATTAGATGTTGAGATGGAGATAGGAGAAAAGAGAAAAACTCTCTTTATATATACAGCTACATAAAAAAAATTAAAAAAATATATATGTAAATTTTTTAAATTTCCTCGACTTTTTAGAATTTTTCTAAAATATTTAATTTGAACTTAACTTTTTATCTATATTATTGAGATCTTGTGAATAGATTTTAGATAATACAATTTGTCGAATTCATTTTTTATCCGAATTTCTTGTTCTGTGTTTATTATATCTCATTTATGAATTGTTTTCTATCTCTTTAATTACCAATTTTTATCATACACTTATAAATTTTCGTTTTTAATCTCGAAATACTCATAGTTAATATGTATCAAATTTTTTTTTGACAACATATTATAGTTATTTTTTAAGTTTGTTAAAGCTTGAAATCGCAGTTTTTGATTTATCCAGAAAGAATTTATTTATTTTGTTGGTGCAAAAGAAAATGATATTTTGACCACTATCGATAAATCTATCAGACTATCAGTTCTTAGTATCCACATTTCTGATTTGTTGATGTTTTGATGTTCATTACAGATTTGGGAAATGATATTCAGAAACTGAATGTGAATTCTCAGCATCTGTTAATTGAATCACATCATTTAGTATCCCACTTCATTCAAATTTCTTAGAACTGCTTGTCATATTGTAATCCTCATCAATCCTTAATTCATGATTTGGTCCTAATAAGAAAATAAGTCGTATGAAAGTGACTATCAACTTCAAGTCTTATCGAAGCATTTGTCCCAAATCTCAATACCTTTTGTTTGATTTCTCTGCATCCGTGATCTTGAGCCCATTAATTTGGTTCTGTAAATGGTTTTGCTTGATGCATTATGAGCCATACATGAATTTTCCAACTTCATTCAGATTATCTGAAGGTGCTGGATCATCAGGCTCATTCTCTAAACCCTGTTATTATTACAAAAAGTCTCAATCTTCGAATCCTTGATTGATTTGGTTATAATATTATAACACACAGGTTGTGCAAACACTAACCATCCCATATGCACTTGTTCACTCCTCGCCAGCCTCATCAGCCTGTGTCCCTCGCACCAGAAAAGCTCCGTCACCACCTCAACCCTCGACTCCTCCGTCTCCAAAAGCTTCTCCACGATATATCTTCCGTACTTCTGAAACGCGAGCTCGACGCAGTTGCCACGGAGGCTAACCGCAATGTTATACGTGCAACGCACGTCATTCAGTTGAAGCACCCGTTGGATCACAAAGCTCCCGTAAACATCGTAGCTTAGTAAGAGAGTCAGGGCCTTGCCTACCCCTTTACCAAAGAGGCACTCGCCTACGGCCTCACTTTAAAAAAAAAATTGATTGAGTTTTAGTTCTATTCATTATGTGTGTTTTAATATAGTTGATTCTTAACATTATTTTAATTATGAATTTTGAATTTTTTTAAGTTCAGAACCTCTTTAAGAATAATTAAAATTGCATAGCTCCAATGGTAAAATCTCAAATGAGGTTCTAATGGAAACTTTTCCCCACATATTCGATAACTTTTTCTATGTAAACACCTTGAACTATCATCACAGAAAAATCAAAATGCAAACTTCAAACTTGAGAAGAAAATCAGTTCCATTGGTCACTCACCATACATGAGAGCACTAAGCAAAAGACAACATATTAGAACAGGGAAATGTCAAAGGCGTCTCATAAATTCCAAGTAAGCACTAAGCACAATTCTACTTCTAAGCAAGAAATACACAGAGAGGGGAGGAGAATTACCATGGAGACAAGTATGAGATGGCAACAACAGTGAGCATATACCACCAATGTAGATGTTCTTGAACTCATGAATCGTATATATTGTTCTTATGTACATCTTTAAGATGTTATGTAGAGTTCCAACTTCTTCCCAATGACACATTATACAAAACCCAACACTAACAGAGCGAAAATCTCATCTTCGAGATCCTCCAAAGAAAAACCCACTTCAATAGTAAATTTGATTCGCAATTGCTGCGTAACTATGACCAACAAAGAAGCAAGGAAGACCAATACATACTAGTCACGATTCAGGAGCACCTAATTCTCAGTTACCTTCCCGCGTAGAGTAACGAAGGAGAAGATAACTAGCTAACCAAAGAGAGAGAGAGAGATCTAGAGAGATACACACATGCATCGAATTAGATTGCGCCTTTTCCGGGGCGGCCATAGCTAGCTTTCCCCACCGTAGATCCCGAATCGAGTCGCGGAAGACGCACGGGTGATCGAAGGGTCGACACGGAAGCGGAATTAGAGTTCTTGGAGCAAAAGAGAAGAGGAAGACGGTACGGGTGATCAAAGGGTCGACACAGAAACGGAATTAGGGTTCTTGGAGCGAAAGAGAAGAGGCGGAATCAGAATTTCCCTTCGATTTTGCAGTTTGATGGAGAGAAATTGATATAATAGTTTTTCGTTACAGTCGAGAGAAGGAGGAGAGAAAGAGAGAGAAAGAGGAGAGTTTATTATTTATTTTTTATTTAAAACTATTAACCAATAAAAATGGGAAACATATGGGGTTTCTATCAACTTTAAAAACTCTATATTGAGAAGATCATTTTATTTAGTTTTTAGTATTTATTTTTTTGATTTTTTCTGTCAGAATCTCATGGTAAGAAGCTCGGAGCTGAGTATATAGATGAAGCCTAAATATAAATTATATTTATTTTCAAACCAAAAAATAATTATATTAAAATAATCAATAAAAATAGAAAAAAACTTTAAAAAACTAAAACCAATTAAAAAAATTAGTGTTTGTGACTTTCTTTGCTGAAAAATGTTTATTTTTTTATATCTAGTTTAATTCTTTGTATTTACTGAAAAAAGTTTTTCAAAGTAAAAATTGATAAAAATCATATCTTTACTTAAGTATGTCATAAAAAAATTAAATAATTTTTGAAAAGTTGGTTAATGATTTTGTGAAAAAAAAATCACGTTTTAAACTAGTGTTATATTTAGGTTTTTATTTTCTTTTATAATACGATAATATTTATTATACTAGATATTTTTAGTTTATTTTTATCACTATACATTTCTATTTTATATAAATTAATTTTTTGTATTATTAAAAAAAAATTATCGCCTACGGCATCAATTAACCGGCATGGTTCTGAAGAGAGTGTAGTGAAATCGTTCCAATCCAACACCTGGATTCAAGCTGAATCAATGACCTGCGGAACTGTGTTTGAAGAAGGAGAAGTGTTTGACAAAAAAAACAGAGTATCAACGAGATAAAGAGAAGAAGAAGACGACACATAGATTTACGAATTCGGGCTCTCGATATTAGATAATACCCTACGTCTCGGCCTGGTGCACACAAGCTTAATCACAAACTTTGATTACAACTTTCTCTCTTCTCTCTCTGTCAACTCTAAACTTAACCTCTGGAGAGAGCGGCACATACGCCTCGACTATTTATCTAGGTCAATTACAAAGAAGAGTTGGTCTAAACTATTAACCGTTAACCATGAGTAAGACAAACCGAAATACTCAATTAGACATTACCAGTCTTGGTTTAAGCATCCGAACTAAATGATTGTATATCATTAAAGTCCTAACAAACTCCACCTTGATAACAATCGATCTGTTCTGCAACAATCTTCAGTGCAAACGTATGCAGCACCAGGCAGCCTCAAACACCTTAGTGTTTAGCTCTTCCAAGAAAGCTCAAGGCTTTCTCAAACTTGTCAACCGGAAGGAACTTTGTCAACATATCAGCCGGATTCTTAATTGTAGAAATCTTCAACAACTTTACTTCCCCTTGAGCGACAATGTCTCGTATAAAATGAATTTTCCTGCTTATATGCTTTGTCCTTTCATGATGAACATTGTTCTTAGTGAGACACAAAGCACTTTGAGAATCGCACCAAATCCCAACTAGTTCTTGCTTGAACCCCAGTTCTTCAGCTAATCCCTTAAGCCAAATGCCTTCTTTTACGGCTTCTACCAAAGCCATATACTCCGCTTCTGTTGTGGATAAGGCAACAACATGCTGAAGTCCTGACTTCCAACTTATAGTATTCCCTCCAGCTGTGAATACATATGCTGAAATCGATCTCCTTTTATCTAGGTCTGAAGCAAAATCTGATCACAGAAACCTTCTACCCTGAACTCTTCTCTTTTTCTGAAGACAAGTTTGACATCTTACGTTCCTTTTAATTATCTTAAGACCCACTTAACTGCTGACCAGTGAACATGACTCAGCTTACTCATGAGTCTACTAACCAATCTAATTGCATAAGCCAAATCACACCTTGTACCTATCATTGCATACATAATGCTTCCAATAGCATAAGCGTACGGTACGTCTTCTCCTACAGAGTTCTCTTCACCGTCCTTTAGCGCATATAGCTTGAAGTGAGAGCCAATGGGAGTTGATACTGCCTTAGATTCGTCCATATTGAATACCTGAAGTATTTTCTTGACATATCTAGACTGGGACAGAGTAAGAACTCCACTTTTTCTATCCATTTCTATATCCATACCCAGAATTTGTCTAGCCGGACCTAACTCTTTCATTTCGAACTTACTACTCAGCAAGTCTTTCAGTTTTTGTATCTCCTTTATGTCCTTTGAAGCTAGCAACATATCGTCTACATAAAGGAGTAAGTAGACGAACACATCCTTGCTGCTTCTTTTCTGTAAACACAATGATCATGCTCACTCTTCTTGAACCCTTGGCTGATTACGAACTGATGAAAGCATTTGTTCCATTGTCGTGGTGCTTGCTTAAGTCCGTACAAGGCTTTCTATAGTAGACACACTAGCTTTTCTTTTCCTTTGACTACATAGCCTTCTGGTTGTTCCATATAGATCTCTTCTTCTATGATTCCATGCAGAAAAGCTGTCTTTACATCAAGTTGTTCTTGCTCTAAGTCCAGATTCACTGTGAAGGATAGAAGAAATGTGATTGAAACGTGTTTCACAACTGGTGAAAACACTTCTTGATAATCAATTCCTTCCTTTTGAGAATACCCTTTCGTTTCCTTGGTTTCTCTACTCCTGGTATCCCAGGCTTTAATCTGTATACCCACTTGCATCCTATCACCTTTCGTTTTTCTGGTCCTTTGACTAGCTTCTAAGTTCTATTCTTTTCAAGCGAACTCATCTCTTCATCCATGCCGTCATTCCACAAGTCTTTGTCTATACTTCTTATAGCTTCTTGATAGTCTCTAGGTTCTTCTAGTCTCACGTCTGCTGCTGCCATCAAAGCAAAGGCTGATATATCATAATCGTTAAATCTTTCTAGAAACTCAGGTTCTCTCCTTGCTCTGTCTCTTGCAATATGGTGACTGCTGTGGTTTTCTTCTTGCACTGTATCATCAAATTGTTCTTCTTCTTCTACTACAGATTCTGTATCACTCTCATGCTCATGACTTTTTGTAGTTGCTCCACCTTGAGAGGTGTCAGGTTTATCTTCTTTAGACTTGGCACTGGTTATAAGAATGGTATTTCCTCTAACCTTTTCTCTTGTGTCAGTCTCATTGTCTTGTGTAACTCGTTCAGCATTTAGATCCTTGTAGACCTTGTCTTCTACAAACTTCACATTTCTGCTGATTACACATCTTTCCTCGTCAATGAGCCATACTTTGTAAGCTTTCACACCCGTAGGATAGCTCATAAAGATTCCCTTTGCTGCTCTAGGCTTCAGCTTCCCTTGATCAACGTGTATATATACCAACGAGCCAAATCTTCTGAGATGATTGTATCCTGGCTTCTTTCCTAGCCATAGCTCTTCTGGTATATTCATATCAATGGCTGAGGAGGGGCTTTTGTTTATTTGATCAACTGCAGTAGATACTGCTTCAGCCCAGATTCATCTAGAATGCACCTCACCTTTTCCATTATTGTTCTGCTACTCCATTTTGTTGTGGTGTGTAGGTGCAGGTTCTGTGTCTCTCAATGCCATGATTTTTGCAGAAGCCATCTAACTCCAAGTTGCAGAACTCTAGTCCATTATCTGTTCGGAGACACTTGACCTTTTTGTTTATCTGATTTTCCACCAGCTTTTTCCATTCACAGAACTTTGCAAATGCTTCATTCTTTGTTGATAGAAAGAATACCCATACTTTCCTTGTAAAGTCATCAATGATAGACAAAAAGTATTGCTTCTGCGACAAGCTTGGAGTAACACTAGGAGAACCCCATAGATCTGAGTGAACATATTTGAGAGCTTCACATGAATCATGCTTTGCAATGTGAAAGCTCAGCTTCTTGTGTTTTTCCATAACATCTTTCACAGAAACTTAGATCTCTTATTCTTCTTTTATCGATGATTCCCTTCTTTACCAATATTTGTAGATTCTTTAGGTTCATGTGTCCGAGACGTCTGTGCCATAGAACTATTTCATCCTTTGATTTCTCCTCTGAGACGTTGCTATTCATATGACCTGTTACAGTTTCACCATCTAGCAAATATAGAGTTCCAGCTAAAGTTCCTTGTAACGCTAACTTGCCGTTTTTACAGAATCTCGTTTTTCCACTTCCACCAGCATGGTCAAAGTCTAATATATCCAATGTTCCAGATGATATGAGATTCCTTCTTAGTTTAGGAATGTATCTGACATTGATTAGAGTCTTGACTGTTTCTCCATAGGCTTTGATGTTAATTGATCATATTCCTTGAACTTCAACTGAGTAATCATCACCAAGAAGAACTTGTCCTGAAGTGAGTTCTTCAAACGTGGTGAACCACTCTCTCCTTGAGGTTATATGATATGAGCATCCTGAATCAATAACCCATTGATCTAGATGCCATTTATCTGAAACCGTCAATGCATCATTTTCTTCCAATGGATCAGTGACAACAGCTGCTTCAGCATCCCCATCACCCTCCATCTTCTTCTTTCGGGCATAACAGTCAGCTTTCTTGTGGCCTTCCTTCTTGCAATACCAGCAAGTGTATCTAAACCCTGAACTGGATCTTGATTTGCTTTTTCCTTTACTATTTCTTGATTCCCTATTCTCTGATCTTCCACGAGCAACATAAGCCTCTCCAATCTTATGATAACTACCAAGATCTTTAACATCTCTAAGTTCAATCTCCTTTGACTTAGCTGCATTTGTAACGTCTTGTAAGGTCAGAGTTTGCCATACTTTAACGTCTCTTTAAGAGAGCTGTATTGTAGTGGTAGAGAGTTTAATAGCAGAATTGCCTGAACTTCTTCTGAGACAGACACCTTTACACTACTTAAAGCAGATACCATCTTCAAAAAATCATCAATGTTCTGATCAATTGACTTTACATCTGTCATTTTGAAAGTGTAAAATTTATGTTGAAGATGGATCCTATCGAGAAGAGATTTAGGATTGTACAGCCTTTCTAGTGCTGACCACATTGAAGCTATTGTTATACATTCTTCAAGCTTTCTAAGAACATGATCTCCAAGGTTGAGTATGAGCGTATTCATCTCTCTCTCGGCTCGCTCGAGCCTATTGAGTTCTTCCTGCTGCAATCTTTCTTTGTATACTTCTGGGTCTTTGCCTTTCTTAACCGCTCTCACTTCAGGAATCGATTCTTCAAGTGCAGCCTTTAACCCAGATTCGACAGATATGCAAGCATCCGTTTCTTCCACATCAAAAAATCTCCTTGACCATCGAAGATCGCAAATTCAACATTCCCTATTGATTCACTCATAGAGTCAAGGCTCTGATACCAATTGTAGTGAAATCGTTCCAATCCAACACCTGGATTTGAGCTGAATCAATGACATACGAAACTTTGTTTGAAGAAGGAGAAGTGTTTGACAAGAAAAACAGAGTATCGATGAGATAAAGAGAAGAAGAAGACAACACAGAGATTTACGAGTTCAGGCTCTCGATGTGAGATAATACCCTACGTCTCAGTCTGGTGCACACAAGATTAATCACAAACTTTGATTACAACTTTCTCTCTTCTTTATCTATCAACTCTAAACTCAACCTCTAGAGAGAGCGGCACATACGCCTCGACTATTTATTTACATCAATTACAAAGAAGATTAGTCCTAAACTATTAACCATAAACCATGAGTAAGACAAACCGAGATACTCAATTAGATATTACCATTCTTGGTTTAAGCATCCGAACTAAACGATTGTATATCATCAAAGTCCTAACAGAGAGTGTGGCCTGCGACTATGTCAAGTAGGTAGCTTCTGTTGCCGACATCTTCCACATTGAATATGCTTACCACATTGGTTATGATCGCGTTGAGCGCGACGTAGCCGTGTCGGTCACACGCCAGGTGAATCGCGTGGAGGTGAATGAGGTGCCACACTGCCATTTTCTTCTCCTGCAGGTTGAAAACTCGCATCCCTTGAACTGCCATGTAGGACGCGTGCTTGTGGGTCATGAACTCGTAGAAGCGTCGCACGATAGAGTCGGCGAAGAGAGCGTCAGCGTCATCTGATTTTCCGAGGAGTTTCTGTAGGCGTTTGGAGCCGGTCTTGTTTCTTGCGTTCCCCAAGAAGTAGTAATCGGATTCTGACGTCAGCAACGAGGCTACCCTTTGAATATCGTGCGCATTTAACCTTGAGATCAAATGTTGAAATGGAGTCGCATCTTCTTCTTCTTCGTTTCTAGGCATTAAGTCGAACAGCGAGTGCAAACACACCTCTCTTTCTCGAGGAGTACTTAAGGTGGCGGAGCGAAATAGTTGATTAAAGATTGAAGATTATCTCCAGCAAGATGGGTTTCTCTTAGTGTTGGGCTTTTGGTGACGAAAGATCAATTCTGCTTCGGGCTTGAACCAGAACTGGTTAAGTCCAATTGGAGTTTCTGGTTGTTAGCTTCTTCTTGGTTTACGGTTTAGTTAATAACCGACTGATTCTATGTAATTAGCCTAAGTATATAGCTAAGACGTCAATGTAATCTCTCTCTTAGATCAGAGAATCGAATTGTAACTGGGAGAGAGAACAATCTTGTAATCGGAGAAAGATAGTGGATTGCCGGATAATCTCCAGGCCGAGACGTAGGGTTTCACATTTCGTGAACCTGAACTCGTAAAATTCTCTTGTGTCTTACAGTTTAGTTCTTGTTTATTGTTCAGCTCAAAATCGTTTTCTTTATCTTCTTCAAGATTGTTAGAGAGGTCGAGAGTTTTCTAAACAGAGGTACAAATCAAAGTTTCAGATACTACAAGTGGTATCAGAGCTTCATTGAAGCGATGAGCGAAGCGATGGTGAAAGTAACAGTCACCGAGTTCGATAGTACCGGAGATTTCTCAATATGGAAGAAGAGGATGTTCGCGCATCTATCGCTCATGGGGCTTAAAGATGTTCTAATCGAATCGATCCCATAAGCGAAGGCGATGAAAAAGGGCGAAGATCCAGAAGCTTACAAAGATCGATTACAGCTTGAAGAGATCAACATGCTCGAGCGAGCTGAAAGAGCTATGAACATGTTAGTTCTGAATCTTTCGGATCAAGTTCTGAGAAAGTTGGAAGAGTATACAACGGCGAGTGAGATCTGGGCAGCTCTTGAAAGGTTGTACAATGTGCAGATGCTTCCGAACAGAATCCATCTTCAGCACAAGTTCTATACCTTCAAGATGACTGATTCGAAGTCTATTGATCAGAATATCGATGACTTCTTGAAGCTTGTATCAGGATTAAGTAGTGTGAAGGTCGTTGTTACAAAGGAAGTTCAAGCTATCCTGGTGTTGGACTCGCTACCAGTTGTGTACAATTCTCTAAAGGAGACTTTGAAGTATGGATGAGAGACTCTCACCATTGAGTCGGTCACAAATGCAGCCAAGTCCAAGGAGATAAACCTAAGAGAGGTAAAATATCTCATCAATTCTCAGAAAGGTGGAGAAGCTCTTGCTGCTCGTGGAAGATCAGAAAAAAAGAGAATCTGGTAACAGGAAAGGAAAGAGCAGATCAAGATCAAGCTCTGACTCCAAGGTAACATGCTGGTACTGCAAGAAGGAGGGTCACAAGAAAGCTGATTGTTTTGCTTGAAAGAGGAAGATGGAGTCTGAGGAAGGTGCTGAAGCCGCTGTTGTGATTGACACATCTCAAGACAGTGATGCTCTGATGGCTTCAGGAGATTGGCATTAAGACAAATGGATAATAGACTCAGGATGCTCATATCTGATAGGACTCAAGTTTTACCCAAATAAAACTACTGCAAGTGCACAGCAAAATCAGTTGTAGTACAAGGGGTATCGAATCCCAAGGGAGTAAGTAAACTACACTAACGATTATAGATTCAGAATAAGCTAAGCGATAAAATGAATGTAATGCGAAATAACTAAAGTAATAAAAGCAAGTGGGCGTTTATGAGATTGTTCTTAAAGTTCAGAAAGCTAAAGGCGCTAAGTCAGGACCGCATGTTGAATCTGAGAATGTAGAATGCATGAAATCAGGAATGATTAAGAACCGTCTCGAACATGAATCGCAAAGGTATAACTAATCAATTCTCATTGCAGAAGTTAACTATGTCTAAATCACAGAGTTTCAAATCTCTTCGCAAACCCTAACAACCTAAACATGCAGTAATGATCAGGTTCAATTGTTCACAAAACTCCTAAGCCAAATCTCTTTGCAAATAGGTGTTTTGCTCATCTAATACTAGTTCAGGTGATAAATAATGCTCTCACATCTATCAAACAACCTAGGGTTTAAAAATCCAGATGATGTGTCTAAGAAATCGATATGAATGCAAGCAAAGATGAAGAACCAATAAAATTTCCTATCAGTTATTAGCAATTCTACAAACTCTTCATCAACCTTTGAAAAGCCATAACTTAAATAGCAAACTACTCAGACATGGTGATTTCAGAAAACATCATAAAAAGAATAGATTGCATAAAAGAAATAAGAATTAGAAATAAAGGAGTTCGAAATCTGCTCTGAAGGAGTCTGATTTGTCTCTCCAAAAGCTCTACTACAAATCTCTCTCCTCCAGCTCTCTAAAATAATAAGATACAAGATATCTTCCAAAAGAATGGCTGAAAAACCTAATATACAAGCTAAAACACGATCTGAGGCCTTTTTACAAATACTGGAACTTCTGGGCCAAAACTGCAAATAATCCTCTATCTTTTAGAAAACAGCCACGACCCCTTCCTTTCTGGGTGACGAGCGTCACCAGGTTGGTGACGAGCATCACCCATATGCATACTTTTCTTCCCGAGTTGGATACTTCGTGGCTTCAACTTGCAATGCTCCAAAAAGCTCCAATATCTCCAATTATGCTCCAGACATGCTATAACCTGCAAAGACTCTTCTAGAACTCTAAAAAGACCAAAAATACTCAATAAAAAGGACTTATATCATGGTTAAAAACCATGATATATCAGTATCACATGACATCAAGAAGAGATTGGTTTGATGAATTTGAGGAGGTAACATCAGGGAAGGTGTCACTCGAAGATGACTTCTCAGTGGAGGTGAAAGGCATTGGGTCAATAAATATGAAAGCCTACGGAGGCACGGTCAAGACTCTGTCTAATGTCAGGTATGTTCCTAAACTAAAACGGAATCTACTCTCGACTGGAACAATGGATAAACTAGGATTTGATCATGCTGATGGTAATGTAAAGACTAGACTCTATAAGAATAAGAAACTAGCTCTCCAGAGAACCCTTATTGGCACTTTGTATTTGTTGGATGGTGAAACTGTTACAGGTGAATCAAACAGCAATGTCTCAAAGAAGATGTCAAACGACGACTGTTACAGGTGAATCAAACAGCAATATCTCAAAGAAGATGTCAAACGACGAGACAGTTCTATGGCACAGACATCTTGGACATATGAGCTTGAAGAACCTGCGAATTCTAGCTCAGAAAGGGATTATTGACAAGGGGAGGATTGGAGAAATGAGCTTCTGTGAAAGTTGTATGATGGGAAAACACAAGAAGACTCATTTTCATATCGACAAGCATGATACAGGGGAAGCTCTAAAGTACATCCCCTCAGACCTGTGGGACTCTCCCAATGTGACACCGAGTATGTCTGGAAAGACGTATTTCTGTCTATAATAGACGTTTACACAAGGAAGGTGTGGGTGTTCTTCTTATCAGCAAAGAATGAAGCATTTGAAAAGTTTGTTGAGTGGAAGAAACTGGTTGAGAATCAAGTCAGGAAGAAGGTGAAGTGTCTACGGACTGACAACGGCTTGGAGTTCTGCAACACTGAGTTTGACAGCTTTTGCAAACAGTACGGGATTGAAAGACGCAGGAATTGTGCGTATACTCCTCAGCAGAATGGCGTAGCCAAGCATATAAATAGGACCATAATGGAAAAGGTCTGCTGTATACTTGACGAGAGTGGTCTTGAAGAAGTGTTTTGGGCAGAAGTAGTATCCACTGCAGTGTACCAAATCAACAGAAGTCCTTCGTCAGTGATAGACAGCAACATTCCAGAGGAGTTGTGGCTCGGGAAGAAGCCTGGATACAAACACCTAAGAAGGTTCGGGTCTGTAATCTACGTATATAAGGATCTAGGAAAGCTAAAATTGAGGGCTCTGAAGGGTATTTTCTTGAGCTATCCACCAGGAGTCAAAGGCTATAAGATTTGGCTTCTAGAAGAGGAGAATTGTGTAATCACTCGAAATGTTAAGTTTGTAAAAGATCAGGTCTAAAATGATTTAAAGGGTAGCCAGTGTGAGAAGACTTCAGAGTCTGACAAAGGTGGTAACAGTCAGGTCAAAATGGTTATAGAATCCCGAGTCAGCTCAGAGAGTCTGGAACAGAACACCATCTCAGGTGGAGCAGCTGAAACAGGGTGATCTATGTCAGTGATTCAGAGTCTGATGAAGAAACCTCAGGTGAAGAGACGACTCCTAGTCCAGTTCAGTGAAGTAGTCATCATGCAGTAAGGGAGAGACCGAACAGAAAGAGAGCTCTTCCTGCAAAGTTTAATGACTATGACATGTCTTCTTTCGCGTTCATAGCAGCAGCAGAGATAAGTTCAGAGGAACCTAGAGACTATCAAGAAGCTATGAGAAGCATTGATAGAGATCTTTGGGATGGAGGTATGGATGAAGAGATGGACTCTCTAGAGAAAAATAAGACTTGGGGGCTTGTAGAGAGACCGATCAACATGTAGGTCATAGGCTGTAAATGGGTCTATAGACTAAAACCGGGAATACCTGGAGTGGAGAAATCAAGACATAAGGATCGGTTGGTGGCAAAAGGTTATTTGCAGAAGGAGGGCATCGATTACCAAGAAGTGTTCTCTCATGTGGTGAAACACGTCTCTATAAGGTTTCTGTTATCCATAACAGTTAACCAAGACCTCGAGCTTGAGCAGCTTGACGTGAGTACTGCCTTTCTTCACGGTATTATAGAAGAAGAAATCTACATGGAACAGCTGAAGGGATACAAAGTTAAGGGAAAGGAGAAGCAAGTCTGTTTACTGGAGAAAGCCCTCTACGGGTTGAAGCAAGCTCCGAGACAGTGGAATAAATGTTTTGATCAGTATGTGGTCCGTCATGGTTTTGAAAGGAGCAAGTTTGATCACTGCGTGTACATAAAGAAGGGAAAAGGTGGAGCACTCGTCTATCTACTTCTATATGTAGACGATATGCTCGTGGCTTCATAGGAAAGGGAAGAAGTCAAGCTTGTTAAGGATCTGTTG